TCGCCTCCGCCGCCGCGTGCTGGCCGGCCAGCCCCGACTCTCCGAGGCACACGAGCTGGCTTTCCGGGCTCCCCTGCGGGCACCGGGCAAGATTGGCACGGCCCCGGCCCCACCGCGCTGCGCGGGCGCCCAACCCCTTCCAGTCCCCGGCTGCCCGCCCGGCCACTCACCCCGGGGCAGGCGTCCGCCCCCTGCTGTCCCACCAGGATGAACAGCGTCTCCCCACGGTCGAAGGAGAAGACCGCCGACACGAAGACACCGCGCGCCCGCGGCAGGTGGCTCTGGGCGCCTTTGCCGCCCGCGGCTCCGTAGGCTGAGATCCTGCCGGGAGAGGGTGCTGGGTCCCGGCTCTCGGCACCGGTCGGTGACCTGGCGGCTCCAGGACTTTTTAATCTGAGAGCCTTAGAGACTTGCAACGGACTCTGGAGGGATGGGAAGCTAGGTTTGCACATCAAAACCGTTAGATTCCAGGAGTTCTAATGGAGATGGCGGGAAGTTCAAGCCCCTCTGGGCGCCGCCCTTGGTCACAGGCTCCAGGCCACCGTGAGCTCGCGAGCTCGGTGCCTGCCGCCGCCCATCCCGTGGTCCCGCCGAAAGAGGGACACTCAAGGGCGCTGGGAATGCGCCAAGACCGGTACTGGGGGCACGTGACCTGCCTTCCCGACTGCAGGCCCTCGGACGGCAGGTCGCCGCCACCGGCCAGGCACTTACAGATAATGCCCTGGGCTTGGCACCCGCCACAGCTGCACGCCTCGGAGCGGCCCGGAGTCCCCCACCGACACCACCGCGCTGTGCCCCGCGTACGCCCTGTCGCACTGTGCTTGTGTGGGCCCCCGCCGGCCGCTGGCCCCGCAGGTGGAGAACAGCCAAGGGCCCTCGGTGCCTGAGGCAGGAGGAAAGGGTCCTCGAGGTCCTGGCCGGGGCTGCGGGACTGGGGATCGTGAGCAAAAGAAAGGGGAGGAGCCCGGAGCTCACCGAGAGGACTTGGGTCCGGTCCGCTAGTCAGGAAGGTAACTTTTGGGTCCCAGGGGCTGGGAACTGGCAGCGGAGGGGGCGAGGATGGAAGAAAAGGCGCCTGGGCCACTGAGCTGGAGCAGAGAATGATCCCTGGAAAGCGGCAGGGAGACAGGTTGGGAGAGGGCGCAGGATGTTAAACGGGGCTGCGGGGACAGATAAGAGACAACCTTCAACCGAGCCAGGCAGCCAGGCGTGGTGCACGCCTATCCTAACACTCTGGGAGGCTGAGGCAGGATTGCAAATTCAGGTCTGGTCTGGGCAATTTATTGACTTAGTGAAACACTGCTCAAAATAAACAACACAAAAAAGCTTAGTGCTAAGGCTCTGGGTGCTGAAAACAAAACAGAAAACACTCCCAACTGCCAGCTCTCGCTGCTCGCAGCCACACCCCTAAGTCCCTGCAGCCAGTGCCCACTCAGTCGAGGAAGTCCGCCGCCACGCAGCGCGGCCGGAAAGCCCCCGGCTGATACCTGGCCAGGTTGCCTTCCCCGTGAACAACTTGAGCACCGCCCCGAGCCGGGTTGTGCTGTTGTCCCTCCCCAGGTAGGCCAGGGACCTCAGGGCTTGTCCCTCCTTCCCAAACTGCGCGCTCGGATTTGGAAGCGCCCCGCGGTTCTTGGATTTACACCCTACAGACTAGAGGCCGCGAAGGTCCAAAGGTCCCGGAGACACCACAGCGACCTGTTCTGTCGCTGCCCGCGGACCCTAACCCTAGGATGCTCTTCAGCCTGGCAGGTTCTGCCGGACACCCCGCACTCACCCGCAGCTCCGAGCCACAGTAGCAGCCGGCCTGAGAGGCCCATCGCCCCTTCTGCGCCCCGCAGAAACTGCCCTCTCAGACCACCGCGGCCCTTGGCGGCAGCTCACAGGGGTGCCTAGCGGTCCGCGAGCTGTCCTGGGGACCTAAAGCCAGCCTGGCCACGCCCACTTCAGACCCTAGTGAGCTAGAAGGAAGGGGCGGGGCGAGAGGCAGTGAGGGCCCGAGGCTTTACAGGCTGGCCTTGTGGGGGCCCCACCCGGGACTCGCATCTGTCGCGGACTGCCCCAAGATATGATCGGCTGGGCTCGAGCTAAGGGGGGAGGTTTCCATACAGTACCCGTTTGAGGCAGCACCCTGGAAAGTGGCCAGCTACATCTCAGGCACTCCAGGAACTTCTAGGTTTCCTGGGCCAGGAGACAGTGTGTGTCTTCTGGGTGCTGGTGGGTGTGATCATGCATGGGAAGGACTAGTCTTTTCACTGCCGTCGTGGCTGCAGGCGGAATCTCCTGGACACCATGAGAAACGATTTTCTGTGTTCACTGTCCTGTTCATGTTGTGAACAGTGTACTGTGATGAGCAGATGCCGGGAGGTCTGAGCACTAGTGCTAGCATGCCTAGTCACCGCTAAGGTGCAAGGCAGAGCAGGGCACTGCTCTGAGACGGTGCCACCACCACCTGCGAAATCCCAAGGAGGGAAATGGCTCCCAGGCAACTGGAAGAGCCAGTTTCTGCCTTGTTTTTGTATTTTGGGTCCTCAAGCTTTTATTCCAAATGCCCCACACCCAAATGCACACTATAGAGAGAACTTGGTCTTTGCACTGAACTATGTTCCTACCCTTAAAATTTTTTGCGGGGGGACAGGGTCTTACTGAGTTGCCCAGGCTTGAACTTGACATCCTTCTGCCTCAGGCGCTGTGACTGCTGGGATTACAGGCATACTTTACCCTGCCTAGCTTCAAAGGTCTATTTACTTTTTTCCTTCCTTCCTTCCTTCCTTCCTTCCTTCCTTCCTTCCTTCCTTCCTTCCTTCCCTTTCCTTCCTCCCTCCCTCCCTCCTTCTTTCTTTCTTCTTTTTTTCTTTTCTTTTCCTTTCTTTCTGGCATGCTTTACCCTGCCTAGCTTCAAAGTTCTTTTTCTTTCCCTTTCTTTTCTCTCTCTCTCTCTCTCTGAGACAAAGTCTCACAGTATACTTTAGGCTGCCCCTGAACTCACTGCATAGCCCAGGCTGGCCTCGAACTTGCAGCAATCCTCCTATCTCAGAATCCCAGTGCTAGGATTACAGATGTGTGCCATCATGCCCCGCTCAAACTACTTAAAGGCTGAGTAATACAAGACACCTCAAAACAAGTTATTATAGTTAGCTATATGATAAGAGTCTGAGTAAATAATGCTAGGTGGGCCAAGCATGGTGCAAGCACCTGTACTTGCAGCTATCTGGGGAGGCTTAAGGCATGAGGATTACAAATTCAAGACCAGCCTGGCCAATTTAGCCAGCCTGTGTCTCAAAATAGGAACGGGACAGGGGATGCAGCTCAGCACCCCCTGGGTTCAATCCCCAGTATTGAGGGGGAAAAAAGCTAGGTGTAGCCACAAGAGTATTTTAGTAAAAACTGGTACTCATGGCCGAGTTAACAGCAGACATACTGCTATGAGGTGAAGACTCACTTCACAAGGTCTCAGTAAACCACAGATTCTCAATGTGGTTGGTTTTGGACAGCAACACCAGTAACACCTGGGAACTCATTAGAAATGCAAATTCTTAACCCCATTCCAGATGCACTGAATCAAGCCAGATGTGGTGGCACATGCCACTAATCCCAGCACTTGGGAGGCTGAGGCAGGAGAATTGACATGAGTTGAAGGCCAGCCTGGGCTACCGAGTGAGCTCAAGGGCAGTCTGAACTATATAGCAAGACCCTGTCTCGAAAAACAACACAAAACAGATATACTGACTCAGAAACTCTCGTGGCAGTGGCCAGAAATCTGTTTAAACATGTTTACAGGGAATTTTTGTCATGTAAGTTTGAGAACTGTTACACAGACAGATACAGTAACTGCTTAATAAAATCTAGTGGACAGCTCTGTATTCAGCAACTCCATCTCTGGAGAGTGGGCTCTACTTACTAACAGGGCCAGGGCCAGCACGCTGCACTCACTCTGCAGATAGAATGCTGGTAACTCTATACAGCAATGAGTATAAGCCTAAGTGTCAGAATTCAGACAAAAGAAAGATCTAGAAATTCTGCCAGGATGAAGAGATGAACCAGTTAATGCTCTCATCTACTTCTTCCAGCCCTGGTCCTGCACTGGGATGGTGTCGTATAGCACAGCTTTGCACCACACCAATGTCTGATGACCTTGTCTCAGGAGTAGAGTGGAAACGGGACCATAGACGCTGCCCCGTGGAGGATGTCTATGCTCACAGAGTTCTTCTGAAGTACCCCATTCCCAAAAGCCATTACCCTGGCCTGGCTCCACTCAGGAACTAGAACCTGCACTATTGCGGTCCCCAGCTGTGGGCTCAGCTTTCACTGCCCACTCACCATTCCTCTACCACCTCTCTCTTCCTTCAAATAAGCTATCCCTCCACGCCAACTCTGAACAAATGTAACTAAAATCAACCCGGCCGGGCATGATAGTGCATCCTGTAATCCCAGCACTCGGAGGCTGAGGGAGGAGGATGCTGTGAGTTCAAGGGCAGCATGTGCTATTACACAGTGAGTTCATGGTCAGGCTGCACTACATAACTGTCAGCCTGCATTATATAAGTAGATGTCTCAGAAAAAATAAAACAAAACAAAAACAAAATCAACCCAAATCAGCTGGAAGACTAAAAAAGAATTTCTTTCAGTGTGCAGCACAGCATTCATATCCCTGGCCCAGGATGGGGGTCAGGGATGGGTAAGACGCATAGTCACTCTTTACTCCTAGTGGAGACCGTTGGAGTCCTCAGATCCTGAGCTCCAGGTAGCAGGTTGGAAAGGAAGGACTCATGCTGTTCCATAGAAGTTCACAGTGCGCTCCTTCCACGTGAGTCTATCGCTCCTTTGTGCTTGCCTCCCCCTGGGATGTGATGTCCTCTGGCATGGCTTGGGGAATGAATCCATCTTTCCATCCACAATCTCTGAGACACTAGGTCTCTGATACTCCATCCTGGAGCACTCCTGAGGCCAGTGTCTGGAGGTACTGCTGCCGCAGTGGGGGCAACTGGGAATATAGCTCAAAGCCCTCTGGGAGGCTGGAACTGGGAAGCTTATAGTGGAGGAGATGCTGCCGGAGAGCCTGCAGAGATGGGAGAAAGTTTATGAAATGCGGAATGAGACTATGGTCTCTGCCTCCCGTGCCCTTTCATCTCCCACCTTCCTAGGCCCCTGCCTACCTCATCTGCCAGCAGCCATGTTTTCTGTAGCATGCTCCTTCGGGCAGTCTTCACCTCATCCTAAGAGCACAATGGGGAAAGTGGCACTGAACCCAGGACCGGCACCACCGCTGGCCTTGCCTGACCCTCACCTCCTCCCCAGCTGGCTCTGAAGCAGCTCAGTCGCTAGGAGTGGAACTTACTGAGCTCTTCGGGTCCTGGGAGAAGATGAAGCTGTTGACATGAGCCATAGCCACCGCGTAGAGCACAGGGCACCAATGTGGACGGAGTGCACCAGTGACCAGCACCCGGAAGTAGAGCTGAAGCAGGGCCAGGTTGTCTTCGGGAGGCCTTGTGTAGCACTCCAGGGACACAGGCAGCTGTGACAGAAGTGACACATGCTGAAGGGCAGGGTGGGGTGTGCATCACTGGTGTGCAAGGCAGACAGCTGATGGACACATGAGGGCAGGGACTGGACCTATCCATACAGTAGACATCCACCCTTCTCCGGCAGGTGGGCAAAGGCTAGCAGACCAAAGAGCTCTTGAGAATTTTTATTGCTAAGTACTTCCTGTTTAATAAACTTACAAAATTTTTTTTTCCAGTGTTGGGGGTCAAAGCAGGCCTTGTGCATGCTAGATAAACACTGTACCACTGAGGCACATCCCTAGCCTGTTTTTTTTACATTTTGAGTCTTGCTAAGTTGCTTCAGCTGGTCTTGAACTTATGATCTTCCTGTCTCAGCCTCCTGTGTAGCTGAGATTACAGGAGTGTACTACAATGCAATGTTCTATTTACTGGTTTATTTATTTATGGTTTTTTGAGACCGGATCTTGCTATACTGCCAAGGCTGGGCTGGAACTTACAATCTACCTGCCTCAGCCTCTCAAGTGCTGAGATCACAGGCAGCTACAAGATGATGTTCTTTTCTTTTTTCTTTTGTCTTTTTTGGACAGGGTCTCACTATGCAGTTCACGCTAGCCTTGAACTTGCAACAATCCTCCTGCTTCAGCCTCCCAAGTACTGAGATTACAGGGATGTGCCACCACGCCCAGTTTGATAATGTTCTTTTTAATTCCTAAACATATTTTTTCTTTTAGTTTTCTTTTTTTAGTTCTTTTATAAGATATATTTATATAATGTATGTACATATTAAAATAGCTCTTTTAAATTCACCAGAATTATAAGAAAAAAATCAAGTCTTAAGAAAAAAAATGTAGTGACTACAACTTGTAATTCCTTTCTCCCTCTCCCTCTTTCTCTCTCTCAGTATGGGGGATTGAACCAGGTCCTCCACACTGTGCTACAACCCCCATCTCCAGCCCTTTTTTATTTTTGTTTTTTTCTTGAGACAGGTTCTCACTATGTAGTCCAGGCTGGCCTCGAACTCAGGGCACTCTTCCTGCCTCAGCCTCCTAAGTACTGGGATTACAGGTGTGTGCCACCATGCCTGTCTAGCCTTTTTTATTTTTGAGCCTAGGTCTTGCTAAGCTGCTAAATCATCAAGGCTTGAAGTTACCATCACTTTTTTCCTTTGGTACTAGGAACTGAACTGAAGGCCTTCACACTGAGCTCCATCTCCAGTGGTTTTTTTGCATCTTGAGACAAGCTCTCGCTACACTGCCCAGGCTGGGCTTGCACGCACATCTTCCTACCCCAACCACCCACAGTGCTGGGGTTATTAA